GCATAAATTTAAAAAAATCAACTGATCTTCTTTAAAGTCAAATAAAACTTAAGTACATATACCCCCTTAAATTATATCAGGATGTTGAACAGATCTGTCTATATAATCTAGAAATATTAATTTTCAAAGTTACCTAACATTTTGGCGGCCATCTTGTTTACATTCCTCAACTTCAAGTGCTGGCATAAATTTAAAAAAATCAACTGATCTTCTTCAAAGTCAAGTTAAACATAACTACATATACCCCCTTAAATTACTTTGGGATATTGAAGAGATCTATTCATTTGATCCAGAAATATAGATTTTCAAACTGACCTAACATTTGCTTAAATTGGGCAGCCATCTTGTTTACAAGTGCTGGCATAAATTCAAATACATGAACTTATCTTGTTGAAAGTAAAATGAAACTTAACTACTTATATCACTCCCACATATTCTGGAATATCAAAGTGATCATGACTTTTGATCCAGATATATAGACTGTCAAAGTTGCTTAATATTTTGTCAGCCATATTGTTTACAGTGTGTGAACATCATGTGCTGGCATAATTTTAAACATATAGAATGATCTTCTTCAAAGTCAAATGAAACATAACTACATATCTCCTGTCACACCATTGCAGGATATAGAAAAAGATCCTTTCATTTGATCCAGAAATATAGACTCTCAAACTTCCCAACATTTTGTCAGCCATATTGTTTACAGTATGGGAATTTCAAGTACTGGCATACATTTCAATACCACAACAGATTTCTTTAAAAGTCAAATGAAACAAAAGTACATATGTAAGTCCAACATATTGCAGGATATTGAGAATGTACATGTTTTTGATAAAGAATTATAGACTTTCAAACATGTTCAAAATTTTGTCATCCATATTGTTCACACTCAAAACTGCTTTGGGTGTCAACCATAAGCCTAGGGAGAAATTCTCAAAGAAATAAAGGATCTTTTACCCAAATAAAGTACAATTGTAGAACATATACACCTCTAACATATGTTGTAATTTCAAAGAGATACATGCCTATCAACCAGAATCATTTGCACACAAGAATGATACACCTAGTATTATTCATACATTGGCCAGGTCCCCCCTCCCCCACCTGCAGTAAATGTGTGTATTCATGAATGTTTGGATCTTATTTTAAACACTTATGACCATCTATGAGCTTCACAGCCAGTAATATTATTGTGGAATAGGAACTCATGATGGAGTATCAAGTTAGAAAAAGCCATACAAGGTCATTCATGGTGTATGAATAGAAATGTAATGCATGTACCAGAGGATTATCCATGCAATGTTATGTGATGCAGTCTGCATGTTGACAGTATTCCAGTTACTGATTGTCTGCAGAAAGAAAAGCAAATGGTACTTTCATTTCATTATTATTCTCTTTATTTTCTAGTTGAAGTACAGGACCAAGTGAGGTACTGGTTTGTTCTGCACCAGGAATGTGGAGTTCAACCCTGCCTAAGACACCAGATCACCTTCTATTGCTATCTCCAAGTCCCATTCATCATTAAATGTTAAAACCAGAATATTCATACTTTGGATTAGAACATGACAATGTATTTTAAAGATATATTGTTTATTATTTATTTTTTCATTATAATGGTGCTGATAATTTCATATCTATTTCTGGATGACTTGGGATTCCTCATCCCAACTTTACCTGGACCTGTAAGCAAGCTATACAAGTAATTGATGCTAGTGAAGCGATTGCATTGTTGGCACTATAATGTTCTATTTTATGATATCTAAAGTGCATGTGTATGTGGTAGGATCAATTCTGGTAAGACATACCTTAATTTATTGGAAGGTTGTAGATACATGCATTCAATAACTTGTTATGTCACTGTGTACAATTTTTAAGATATTGTTTTCATAAACCCAAGGTATTGCCTGTATTGTACCAATTTTTGTGCATTCCTTTTGATAGTCAATTAAAAAAAACTGTCATGGAATTGTCTGTGTTGCCTTATTTTTTTATTCTTTTATAAATAATCAAAGTATGATTTCACAACAAGATGACACTTAAGCACAGTGGAGGCATTGGGGGGATGACAAGCTAGAAGAATCATGTTTTCACAGAAGGCAAGTATCCAATAATTTCCTGAAAATTATCCCAATACCAAGAAATTTCATTGGAATGGCCTAAGTATAAGTTTAGGATAAATATTTACATATCTTGATAATGATGTGTACAAAATTTCTAAAAAATCAACAATCACAACTCAAAAACTCGCTAAGACATGTGATGTAGAACAGGAAAAAATTTGACTTTGCCGCCAGGAAGTCTACCCATCGTCCCTTGAGCGTGAAACGAGCCTCGATCTCGTGAATGCCGGCGTTGCCTCACCATTGTACTTAGCACCATGGTCTGTATTTACGAATGACCAAATATGGGTCGAATCATGGCCTTCTTAATTACAGAAATGAGAAAAAAATGCACAACTAAGTGAGAAAACTTCAGAGAAATGGCAACTGGCCATAGTACTAGTACTTATACGAAGGCATCTATAATACCAGGAAGAAGTTTTAAATTTCCCGCCAATATATTAAATCCCATCATGCATTGGGGGTAATCAGCAGCGAAACAACATTTTGGTGAGTCAACTTTTCCATCATTTTTGTCTGCTCTAATATAGCCGCTAGGTCACTTGTGGCTTCATAAAAATATCACAAGGCAACAGCCAGATACTTATTTGGTAGGTGCTAACTTTCTAATGCCATATTGTGTTGATAGAATCGCTATATTTGTAGTAACAGTGTGATGTTTTGAGTATGTTGGTGGTGATCGTGGGAGGGGGGCGTAACCTATATGCTGCACAAGCTGCGTGAGCTAAATTTACCGTACATGACCGTGTACGTGTAGCTTTGTGGTTGAAAACCATTCTGTATGAAATCCAGACTTATAGCTTGTCTCAGAAGCTAGAAGTAATATCGAAATGGCTTCAAGCGAGCTTGATATTTTGGATTTATAGTAGAACGCCAGGTTCTCTTACTACTAATTTAACGTTACATGTGACGTATTAACGTTACTACTAGTACTAGTCTAGTTCCCTCTATCAGAAAGTATGAAAACTAAATCACAAATTGTCAGTCAGACATAGATATGGGTCATATAGCAGAATATCCTTTAATGGCATTTGCTTAATTGAGGTGTCTCTGGATCTGATTTTCCTTTTTGCTTCTACATAACCAGATGCATGGATGTTGTATCTGTATAGCCAGTATAGGCAGCCTATAGCTAGCCAGCTTTACAAGCCAACATTAAAGATGACTTAACGTTAGATTGGACAAATGTTTTGTCCTTCATGAGCAGCAAATCATTCCAATAAATGACAAAAATACAAAATATACTGGCTAGAAGATTGTTCCAACTGTTTATTTTGTATTCTCCCCACTGTCAGCAGCTTTGGGAGTCCGGAGACAGGAGGCAAGATGAGCTATCCGTACCCGGGGGGAGGTTACCCTGGACAGGGCATGCCCCAGCCGGGCTACCCAAACACCAACCCACCGTATCCTAACGCTGCACCAGGATATCCTCAGGTTAGTACCAAACACGAACCCACCGTATCCTAACACTGCACCAGGGTATCCTCGGGTTAGTACCAAACACCAACCCACCGTATCCTACATTGTAACACTGCACCAGGGTATCCTCAGGTTAGTACCAAACACCAACCCACCGTATCCTAACACTGCACCAGGGTATCCTCAGGTTAGTACCAAACACCAACCCACCGTATCCTAACACTGCACCAGGGTATCCTCAGGTTAGTACCACCAAACACCAACCCACCGTATCCTAACACTGCACCAGGGTATCCTCGGGTTAGTACCAAACACCAACCCACCGTATCCTAATGCTGCACCAGGGTATCCTCAGGTCTGTCTTCTTAGTTTCAGTCTGTTAAGAAATCAATTTGCATGACATAACACTATCACGTACATGAAATATGTTGATGTTTACACACGATTACAGTGCTGCAGTACATATTCAGGGCTTGAAATATCACCTGCATATGCACCTTAGCTCAGGTAAAATTGGAGCCGTGCGGACAGGTATTTCTAATGTCTACCTGCACCTAACATGCAAGTTGGTCCATGTAGTGGGTACGTATGTATATGCAGGTTGGTGCAGGTAAAAATAAGTTAAAGATGACAGAAAACTTTAGAAAGCGTTAGAACAACATTTCTTTTCTACATCTCTATTCAAATCAGGGTCCTGCTGCGATGCCGATGCCTGGAGCACCTCCACCCCAAGCGTTGTACGGAGGTTCTGCAGGTTATGACCAGATGCCGGCGCCCCCTGGTGGATCTGGGCTTCCCTACAGTCCACAGCCTCCCTTGGGCTTCCAGGTCAGTAAAAACCTAGTAATATATATATAATAGATTTATATTTTGTACAACAAGTTCAGTTGGGCAGGGTGGAAGAGGATAACTGTCCTGTCAGTTCAAACTCTTTTTTTTCTTTACTGAGTACAAAAATATTTTTATTGGCTTTTAAAGATAATGTTTTAACTTGAAATTAACACTACATGTACATGACTATTGTAATGAGTATTGCTTATGACATGAGCAGATTATACACATAACTCGCATATAAGGGATGTAAAACAAACTACAGCTTTGATATACATTTACAGCTTTGAAAGTTTGATTTACATTTACTAATTAATAATAACAGGTGTCATTACATTGTCAAGAATGAACAGCTGCCAGAATAGCTGTACCTCATGCAACAACAACTGCATGATAAAACATTAACATTGCAACCCTTCTTGTAACACATCATTGTTGTCTATTCTGTGAATGGATTGGCTTCTTTTCGAATTTCAAATGTCATTACTGGCCTTTTTTGTGTACATTATACCAATGGAATCAGGTGCTCTGCTTTGCCATGTTCACCAACTGTTTCACACTTCATACCTACATGTAGTTCAGTACCACATTAATATTCGTTGCCATACCATGCCTCTAGTAACACTCAGGTCAAGCACTCTCAATTCCCTCTTGAACTCTAATCTTTGTAAAAGTCTACTGTACATACATCTTGTCTTCTGTGCTATACAACATGTTGTGGAGGAATTGTATATTCATAGCAATATCAACTGTACCAGCGTTAATGGTACATAGTAGCATACAGTTGTACATGTATGTATTATGATTTCTGTCCTTATAGCTATGGTTTTGTCCATATACATGTAGCTTAGAATGGTTAGATGCAAGTGATTTATAGATATGTTCAGTAGTGAATGTGTGTACTGAATTAATCTCCGTAATTTTTTTAGTAGTAGCGTTTGAGTTTTCTTTGATACTGAATGTATGTCTACCCTAGAGAGATTCTTATAGTTGTTTAATTTCTTCACATTGTTGAATTATGTTGTACTAGTAACTGAAAGAAAAGATATGCTATGAATATGATTATTCTGTGGATATTTGTTGAACTCTCCAAGTATTGCATATATTGCAGCATGACGATATGCTGCCGCAGACAAAACTGAAGAAGTGAAGATTTAAGATTTCAAGTTGATGGATTCTCCAGAAACAAGAAGAAAAGCATGCATGAATGTAAGGATAACAGACTGATTGTGATATTGTTTATTTCAAATTTGATCCTGAACACATTTGCCATTCTTGTTCAACATGTGTATTAGAAAAGCAAATTAACTGGAAGATTAGATTACTCTCATCTGCTGAATAAACATACGGGTACGTTTATTTTTTGGGGCCCTAACATCCACCCAGTACGTTCTTATTTTGCACAGTACGTTTATTAATTTTTTGAAAACCAGTAATTTTTTTCAACTTCGTGTGAAAAAAATTGACAAATCATCGACGTGAAGATGTTTATAAACGCGTATTGTAGCGAGAAACTTGTCATTTTCGGGCCGGTTTTTGCAATCACCGCGTGCATAAATTCGTCTGAATGTTCTATTGTCATGGGTGGTGCTTATCAAAATACGAAATATTAAATGCCCCTTTTTTTTTGTCTATTTCAATTCCTAATTGCAAATAACAGTTAAAGATTTGTGCATATATCAGTAAGGGTGCATTTTAGTACAAGAGACACAGGTTACCCGTCAATTTTGGTAATTTTCCGGGGGGTACGTTTATTCCGGGGGTATGTTTATTTGATTTTGAAGATTTGTCCGGGGGGGTACGTTTATTCCGGGGGGTATGTTTATTCGGCAGATGAGAGTAGTTAGAAGAAGTGTTTGTTAGTATGCCATAGTCAATAGTCTACATTGTATGTCTTTGTTTGAAGCTAAGAGCATTAAGTCATCAGGCTAGGGTGTTGATACTAATGATAGGATCTACATGTATGTTGCATTCCTTGTTTATTCCCCTAGTACAATGTATAACATGATAACTCTCTTAGGATAGAAAGACCCTTGATACAGTATTTCTTACTTTCACCACTAATGCATAAAAGTCTACAAATAGCATTGAATCTCTAGATCTCTCTTACACTCTACCTAAAGGTGGACATAGCAAGCAAAGCAGAGCAATTTGATATCTTGTAAACATTTATACATTGTACATGTGAACATGTACATGTAATTTTATCAGTATTTAGCGAGTCACTTTGCACCAGCAATATGAAACTATGATACTGTATCTGTGACAAGTCTGACCATTAAGCTAATATACTGTTTATGCCATGATAATTTAATGCTTTACTTAACCATTATATGTTGCTTTTGCCTGGTGTTTTGCATGCAGACAATGGCGGATGATGCAGCAGTAAGTTCCTTGCCCTGTGACATGTTCTGTTCCTAACTAAACATCCTTCATTTTCCTGTCTTACTGACACTATCTTTGCTGTAAGTTTCTCATGAGCTTCTTTAGTATGAACTCAACAAGGTTTGATACATATTATGGTAGTTTTGGTGCAGTCAATTTTCTTACATTTTTTCTCAAGCATGAACTTGTAGACTTTTCTTGCCTGCTTTGTTTCTAGACTATAGTATAAGTTTGCGGTGTGTGGTTTAAAGTCTCTGATTATTGAGTGTACATATCCATTCAGGAACAGTACTGGTACATTGATTTTCACATATTTCGGACCTGTATCTATGAATGATTTTCACGATACTGTACCGGTACTCGGTACTACTCATACATGTGTCATGTTTATGTTTGTATTCATTGATATTTGGACCACATGAATTTATAATATAAGACAGATATTATATCATCCTTTGGCAAACCCAAAACTGATGTGCAGGTGTGAACAAAATGTACCCTGATGTGTAATGTCTCTTAATATGTGGTGTAAATCCATCAATTTTCTAGCCTGTTACTGTTACTGGTTTGCCAGATACAAAATGCACTAGTAGTAGTAGACAAAGTGTTATTTTATGTAGCCTGGTTACCAAATAAAGTCCTATTTGCAGAGAGGATGTAGGGTTTGGGTGCTAACATAATAGATTTGGTATCCAGGCTAGACTTTATGCCATGGTATGAAAAGCTACTTGACAGATCCTTAGTAACGTGTGCTCACTTCCCCCCCCCCCCACCAGACCATTGCCATGGCAGCCACAGCCTTTCGAGGAGGGGCGGGGTCTGTTGCCATGCCAACACCTCAACCTCCCGGGCCTTCACCATACCCATCAGCTGGCGGGGGTGCTCCTCCTTATCCTGTAGGTGGTGGAGGGTTCCCTCAAGCCCCCCCGCCAGCCAGTGGTTCCTTCCAATCCGGTCCTCCTGCTCCTCAGGTAAGGAAATATGTAAACTTGGGATGAAAATCGGCAAAACATTCACAACATCGTAGTAAACTGTTGAACTTTATTCCAACACAATTTGAGTACCACCACTGTTGCCTTCTTCAGGATATTAAATGAATGACCAATCACTTCAAAACCTAATCTCGCAAGAGTTGCGGTGACAGACATGTGACCATATTCAAACAAGACTTTACGGATACGTGATGTAAGCAATTGATCAAAATTTGATCTCTGTCGAAGCTTGGTGTTGGAATAAGGTTCAACAGTTTACTATGATTACTACCAACACAGAATGAACTTTCATGATTATGATTGATTGATTTTGTAACAACATCACTTTCTCTACCTACCGTTTTGTATGTCAAGCTTTTCTTACCCTGTTGCTTCACTTTGAACATGTTTCTTGTCAGTTGTATCTGTGGTGACTCACTTATGTAACTGTACAGTAATCTCCAAGCAGGTCCTAAGGTGGCAAAAAAACAGTATCAAATTGGTCAGGCAGTATCCATTTGCCAGCTAGAGGGTCCATTACGTCACCCTTGGGTCATTTTGGCACCCTAGGATCTACTTGGAGATTATACTGTACTACAGTTCAAATTCTTTTATCTGTCTTTGTGTTCCTGTCAGTACCCTAACCCTTACCTATCGCCCCCCTCCCCCCAACCTCCACGAGCCTCGTCACCTGTTCCCCCGCATATGCAGGTAAGGAATGCCTGCATCACGCTCTCTTATCTTCAGCTTTGACTTTGCCATTTTCCAACGTTGTCATAGTCTTACATCTATAGGGTTCGAAATACCCAGTTGTATAGTTGCGCCACACAAGTGACACGACCATATTTTGTTTGGCGCTACCTACTTACAATCTCAGGTACCAGTGGCTACCTCTTTCCCCAGGAAAGATTTAATCCCTTTGTTGCATAGTTACAATGTAGAAGACTCAGGAACTGGGGTTAGCTGAAACACAAGTGGGCAACGAAACTTTTAGCTTAGGTTGGCCACTATTACAGACAACCCGAGGAAAAGATTTTGAAGTATTTTGAACCCTGATATTCCCATTTCTCATATGTTTTGTCTTTTTTTGTCTGTCTTCCTTGTTTTTAAAATAACTTTATTTGTGGCTGCTGTAATTTTGAGTTGAACATCTTGTTTACTATCCCAGTACCAGAACCCTTACCTCTCCCCACGGTCCCCACAACCCTCCCCTATCCCCTCCCCTGTTCCCTCCCCTGTCCCGTCCCCCCATGCCCCAGCCACCGCGTTCACCCCTCCCCCCCAGGTCACCACAGACAGAGGGACCGTATGGGTACTTGGTATGGGTGGATTCTCTCTCAGCATGCTTGCAATGTTATCTACACAGTGTTAGAAATTATGCATTGTGAGAAACCTGCAGTGTGCATTTTGCCGATATATTTTCAATGTTGCTAAGAAAAGTTGGGCAGGCTTATCAAAAATATACCAGTACATGTCAAATAAAAAAGAAATTCTGACAAAAATGCTTAAAAGTTAGAATGCAGAATTATTAAGCCTAAGCTTAAACCTCGCTTGGAGAGAAGTATTCAGTGTGTTTGCCCCATCTCTAAGTAATTTTTCCAGCTACCTAAGGAGCCTAATGAACAAGTCTCTATTGTCTTGATTGTTGACTCAGCATATCTGAACAGCATGTCTAGTGAGGATCTGTAAATTTTGCTACATGTTTATGATTTTTAATCTGAATGATGATTTTCATGCAGTGGCATCACATGGCGTAATAGTCAAAAGATTCCAAATTCGATCTCCTAACATGCCTGATGTTGTGCCCTTGGAAAGGCGCTTTACATGATTTCCCTCCCTATACGGTGGAGTGACGCCCACGGGGCCTTTCAGCTAACCGTTGATACTGTGTCCAAACGAAGAGGACATGGACTGATTTGATGTGTCTTTTGTGCAATTGGAAATACACATTGGAGACACCAAAAAAGAACTATAATTTTTTTTTTCACACAGCCCCACCCTCAGATGCCATCAGCTCCAGGGAGCCAGCGAAGACCCCCACCCCAGGTGCCGACTGCCCCAGGGAGTCGGGGGACTGCCGCTCCCAAGGGGACCCAACAGGCATCAGCAGGCAGTGCAAGCCAAACTGTAAGTGAATAGTCACATTATCTACTTTTGACATATATTTGAAACTATATATTATAGTTCACACAATGAAAAGTGTGTACTACTCTAGAGAGCTTTCGAGACACACGTTGTCTGTTCAGTAAGCCTGTTAAGTCAGATCTTGTCTTAACGTTCCCTGTTAAAGGTACTGCAATAACAGCATTGTCTGTAGATCTGGATTGCCTCCCAAACACAGAGGGACCCCTTGCAAACCAATTCAAACCATTTCTTAATTGTCAATTAATTTTATCTATGTAGCAAACATTATGGTGGATTATGTTTCGTGTTTCTCTTCCCCCATAACAGCGTCACATCCATGGCACCCTGCGGGAACACCAGTCATTCGACCCACATGCCGATGGACAGAAGCTGAGAAATGCCATGAGAGGAGTGGGTAGGTGTGGAGCTATATGCATGCATGTTACATGTATAACAGTCCTGTATACATGTACATGTGAAATTATTATTATGAGCCTCAGAAACGTTGTGCAAGCATGGATGTCTAACCCTCAGAAGACAGAAATCGACAGCTAAACTGGGTAGAGTGAGTGAGTGAGTGAGTGAGTGAGTGAGTGTGAGAGTGAGTGAGTGAGTGAGAGTAAGTGAGTGATCAGTGTGTGTGTTAGTGAGTGGTGAGTGATTGTGTGAATGAGTGAGTGGTGAATGAGTGAGTGAGTGAGTGAAAGTGAGTGAGTGAATATATATTATATATATGTATATATGTGTGTTTTTATGTGTGTGATCTTTCTTTCCTATGTGTGCACAGGGACTGATGAGAAAGCTATCATTGACATCATGGCACACAGATCCAACGCACAGAGACAGCAACTCATCCTGCAGTACAAGACTATGTATGGAAAGGCAAGAAAGAGTGCTTATTGCTCACTTTAGATCTTACAACATCGCTTAAATATGGATATGGACAATCCAAGAGATAGCTCCTCAAAGACTTGTATGTTGTCCAAAGTTGTAGATTTTGCTAATGAAATTGTCAGTATTATGACTTTTCTTAAGTTCTCCCAATGTATAATTAGTGTTCCATGATTGTAGATAATAAAAGAAGCTTCAGGAGATATATTCATTGTATTGGACTTCAGTAGACTGGTTTATTCAGTAAACAAGAACATACATGTATGAACACTAACAAGCTTCCTGGCAGCTGTGATGGCTGAATTTTGAGGCTTGTTCTGACAAAATGTTTTGAAAAAATTTTATACATTGTATATATTTTTGCAGGACTTGGTAGACAACTTGGGGAGTGACTGTGGAGGGAAGTTTGGACAGGTGATACAGTACCTGTGTATGACACCTGCACGTCTGGACGCATACCTGCTCAGGAAAGCCATCAAGGTGCACTCAACATTTTTTTTTTATTCGAACAATTCATGACAACACATGGTGACGGAACAATCAAGTTTTTTCAACTTATTTTACGCCGCCCCCAACACAGAGTACTAACACAGGACAGGACAATACTCTTTCACTTGAGTTAAAGTGAGTAAGCTGCCTTTCCCAATGGCACAAGATCGGTGGCATGTAAGGACCTCTTGGTTCCAAGTCAAGCATTCTGCCGTCATGCCACACGACCCTACACTCAACATTTCATAACTTGATTTGATAACTTTAACTATGCTTGTCTTAGCAAGACAGCAAATCACTAAACTCTTGCTGACCTGTGCTTTTCCAGGGCTTTGGAACGGATGAAAAAGTGCTGATAGAAATCCTAAGCACCAGAACTAACCAAGAACTGACAGAAATCAGGATGGCTTATAACACAGGTGTGATGGAGTTACTCTATATGTTTAAAAAATTGCACATGTATCTTTTTTCATTTGTCATTTTCGTCACCTGGGAATTTACACTGGGAGCCAAACTAGTATTGGGCCGTTTTCCCAGCCCTGTTTGGGTATTTTTGTTGGTGGTGTTGGTTGTTGTCCTGTTTGTCATCTACAATTTTGACAATTCACAGTTACTGTTAATCAAAGTCATAAGTTCGTCACTACACATTTGCTGAAAATTTTTCTTGTAAGGTAGACTGTGTTTATTACTGTAGCTGTGTTGTGTGTATAACAGTACTGTATCCCTTGTCTCCTCTTTGACCCGTACAGATTACAATAAAAACTTGGAGCAGGACATTATTGACGACACCTCTGGCCACTTCCAAAGGTTGATGGTGTCTTTATGTCAGGTAGCCCTTTTACTTTGCATCAGCATTTATAACATGATGTGTTCATGATTCAAATAACATAAAATGCTTTCGACAGATTTATATTTATTCAAATGCAACAACTCTTACAATGCAAAGATAAGATAAGTAAATACATAAAAGTAGTAGTGGGCATCCTTCCACCTCGAAAGAGTGGCCTCCCTTTTTAAAAATACATAAAAGACTGTTTTGTTATTAGAGGAAATGCCAAAAAGTCATGATTTAGCCCTACTTGAATGTATACTATATTTAAGCTCTTTATGTTTTAATTAGGATGTCAATTCTCATTGTATACTCTTGTTTTTGTATGTCCAATACATAGTAGTCCTTGCCATACATTGTACCATGTTACTGTTGTGCAATGAAGTTCTTCTGTATAAAATTGTTTGTCAAGCCAGGAAACATGATTGCTGGGTTTGTCTTATATAACTGGCTGTCAAAGAAGAAACTTCCCAGCCTTCATCGATGCTTTTACTGTGTTTGCAGGGGAATAGAAGTGAGAGCACAACCGTGGACACTGCACAGGCACAGAAGGAGGCTAAGGTCAGGGCATTTTGAGCATTGTTAATTGTCTTACCGGGAATTATATTTACCTTAGTTTGCAGATGGAAAACATATTGTTTTTGCTTTTTTGTTTCTTCTTCCTTTTCTTCTTCTCCAAACAAGTCAATGATCAGAACCAGATGTCTATCACCATGGCAACTGGTGTTGGGCTACATCATGTTACAATTTTATAGCAGGAGGGATTTAGACTCCTGTCAGCATGTACAATGTATGTGAATGTGTTTGAGTGAGAATTAACAGAACAGACCATATGCGAAGGTAAACATTATGCATTATTTGCGTTATCTTCTAGTTTAGACATGTGTCTGCCTCCCTGTTTCAGGAGTTGTATGAAGCAGGGGAGAAGAAGTGGGGTACGGATGAGTCCAAGTTTAACGCCATCCTGGTGTCCCGCAGCCCTGCCCAGCTCAGGGCCACGTTTGATGAGTACAGCAGACTCTGCAAGTACACCATGGAACAGTCCATCAAGAGGGAGATGTCAGGAGACCTGGAGAAGGGCATGTTGGCTATTGGTGAGGAACGAACAGCTGTTTACACCTGCTTCGGTATAGCTGGACTTTCGGGGTAACACACCAGCTTTGCAGACACTTGATGCGATCGTAGCTGGCTACATTACACTGAACGACATCAATGAAAAATTTACACTGTATAATATATCAAGAATACAACAAATGGCACTCGTGATTAGCTTCTAAAACTTACTGTGTTTTATATTGTACTTTTCGTTCCCAAAAGCTGCCTGGCTGGGCCCAGGTTTGGAAATGTGACCTTAGCATTCCAATGTATCTGACCTTGTAACTAATTTAATTAGTAGCTTGTACTTACATTACATAACTGGTTTGTTAGGACTAAAGCCAGTTAATACCAGTTTAACAGAGCCAATTTTGTTAACTTCCTGTTATTCTAACTTAGTCTTTCTCCATTGTAGTGAAGTCAGTGAGAGACACTCCTGCATTCTTTGCCGAGAAGCTGTACAAATCCATGAAGGTAAGTCTTATTATATAACACAAGAGGTATCAGACAAGTTTCACCATTATATCACATGGCAAAGTATCAAATACAGACTTAGTTGTAGTTATGATGAAAGTAGCATCAGCCTTACATGTCAAAATACTGTACCAAAAATTGAAAATAAATTACTAGATTTTTTTCGATCAAAATGTTTGGCACAAAGATGTTACCTCTAAGTTTTGAGGTAGAGCCACTGAATTTTCTTTCCTGTGTTGCAGGGGCTTGGCACAGATGACGACACACTGATCCGTATTGTGGTGACTCGATGTGAGGTGGACATGCAGCTGATAAAGCAGGCATTTCAGGCCAACTATAAACAAACTCTGGGCCGCTTCATTGCTGTAAGTACCTCCATGAATAGTTCCATCTCTTCCTATCTATTTACACACTGATTTTTGTCTGTCAAAGATTATGGCGAAATTCTGTGAATTAGAATGGAAATTTTGAACACTAGAACAGGGAGAAGTTTTGTCTGTGTGTGTATATATTCATGTATCTGCATGTATATAATATATTATATTATATTATATATTAATTATTAATCTTGATGTTTTTAATGTCAACAACAGGGTGACACATCAGGAGATTACCAGAGGGTTCTACTGGCTCTGATTGGAGGAAAGGACTAAGATAATAAATACATGTCATCCAATACATGTAGAGAAATTCTCTTGTAAAGTTAGTGTTGCTGTTTTGCATTATCTTTATCATTACGTCGTAATCAACTTTGATACGAATGTCTTCACTTGATGATTTCAGCAAGACTGCATTGACTAGGACTGTTTATGATAATTGATCCTGAAATGTATTTGAATGTCCTCCAATTTTATACAATTTTTTGTAACACTGAATCATGACATTGTTCGTGATTTCATCAAAATGGGGAGAATGATATAGGGCTTGTATCGCACAATGTAGGGAAATTCTGAATAGAAATGTTATTTAAAAAAGATGATTGTTGTCACTAGCATGCATTGGGCATGTCTAATTACTATGTAGTAGTACTATGAGTGTTATTTGCATTATAATGCATGTGTAATGATTGTTATTGCAGTAGGTAGTTGGCTACAGCGTTAATTATAAAGCTAGTATGAGTATTTAATCCATGCAGTATTTTAAGAAAATACAAGGGCTTCTTTAAACATTTTATGATGGTTCCTGGTGATGGTAATGTTGTCATGGATGGGAATGGGTGTTTTTAGAAAGTTTGGTCATTTGGGGCAATAGCAACATGAAACCTTCTTTTAAATCTAAATGTTATGCAGTAATGTACACATACACATGTCAGTTTTTAAGTGCATTTGTAACTGAGATAGGGGTTTTATGGACAATTTCTAATATTAGCTTGATGATAATATATAACGGAATGTTGTATGCTGTACTGTATCCAATATCAGGGATGTATACTACATATACAATGATACAGTTTTTAACCTTTAGAAAATTCAATAAAAGTGTTTTAAACTGTTTGCCTGTTATACTGCCTAAAGTCCCATGTGGCTTCCATAAGTGTTGGAACTGAGCAGTATCAAGAACAATGAACAAAAGACATTAAAATATTGCATTGTCAAATAATGAGTTTCATCTTTGTGTCTTTATTCAAACTCGAAAGCAATGAAATGACTTCACCTGTATAAGTTATGTTAAAGTCAGATCGATAATTCCATGTCCTTTGCCAGCGATCGACCAGAAAAGTCACGGGTCGCCAGGTGTTTTTCTCATACCCGAAACACAACATTTTGCCTAGGATTTTCAAGAATTGTTATTGTAAGATTAACTGGTAACCTACGTTAATATGTCAGCAGTGATGCCTAGGTATCATTAGACTATCACTAGACCTAGTAAAATTTGCGTGGGTGGGTGCTTATAATTATGTGTGCCACAGGCCACGCGTCGTTACACTAAAGGTATTACAAAATATTATAAATCTCCAAATGTTTTTGTTTTAAGTCATCTGAACCGCCAAAACGTTTACTACATTTTCCTTAGCCACTTCCGCGCGTTTGACGTCAGGTAATGAAACAAAACATCATCTGATCTACATGTCAGCAGATACTGTAAAACCTTTCTTTATTTCGATGGTGAGGTAAGAGTGATGTGATGCGACGAGTCAAGCGGAAAAACCTGCCCAGTCAAAAGATCTACTTCACTAACCTGCAGGCAGATTAAATGGGCATTTCCTGTTGTCAACTTGCCTGTTGGATACAGGATACCGAAAGATCCGATTGGAGAATAGGAATAACGTAACTGCGCTAGATTTGCATCACATTAGACGCGAAGGGTCAGGGGTTAGTGTGCAGGTTTCTCTAACGACTACTCATGGTCCAGCAGGTGGTAGGAGTGTGCATGCAGGGGACAGAACGTTTTGAAGAGAAAGGGTATCGCCGAACAACTACCGGAGACTTCAGAACGCTTGGAAGTTTGCTGGTATTGAGTTGAACTAGCCCTGAAAGGAGGTAAGGATTTGAAGAGTTTACAAGGACCCAAAACACACCTACCCACTCAGTGTGTGTGTCTGTGTATGTCTGTGTGTGTCTGTGTGTGTGGTGTGTCACGATGTGTGTGTGTGTGTGTGTGTGTGTGTGTGTGAGTGTGTGTGTGGTCTTCACTGGCTACAGGCATGCAAAGTTGGTTGTTGCGGAAGGCGACGTGTGTCAAGGCCAACTCTATAAACTAAAGAAGCAACGTCTCAGTGAGTTTGTATGGTCACATTCAATCCCACGATATGCTTGATAAAGCTCACCTTTTACGAGCTATCGCCAAGACACAACAATCAGCATTGAAGGGGTAGGCAAATGTGCGTATTTGCATGTATAACGTTAGGAAGTAAACAAAAACACTGCTCGTTCGTATAGGAGCGCCAGGCCATTCTCCCACTATCCGACTGGATCTGGACAATTTTATCCTAGAGGGAAAAGAACCTTAAGTTTGGAAGCAACATTAATATGTTAATTGCCGCGGGATATTCTCTCTTCCCAAGGGAACATGTTTTTAAACATGGCGAAACTCGATATCGACGGGCTTAAGGTAAAACCTACACATTGCTTGATAAGAGATTATGTAAATAACGTTATGCAGCTCTCCCAGCTAGCTCAGGTTTAGGCTTCGACTTCTTTATGGCTTGTTTCTATGCGTTTTTATCGGTCGTTTTTGCAATGTTTTTTTTACGCAAGCCCCCCCCCAAAAAAAAAATCCAGTACAAAATAGAAAGCCCGGTTAAAAATGCGTAAAACAGGCCAATAATAAGCATAAGCCTAAACCAGTCTGCTTTAGTTGGAGAGTGAGGTTTTGTTATACGGCGAAACCCTCCCGGGCATAACTCGCGTCGTGCCCCGAAAAAAAATTAGCACCGGCTAAAGGTTTTCTAAGGTCACTCCACGCCAACAACGGGATGGATTGTTCACGCTCTGATAGGCAAAACAAAAACAAGCAACAGCGTAAAAATAACAACGAGAACTGGCCAAGTTGGAGTTTTGTCCCATTTATTGTGCTAACAAAAGCCCTGATCCTGTTTATTGTAACGCCAAATCATGTACGGTAGTGTAGTGCTAACAGGTGGCACATGATTTTTTGTGAAAGTTTCGCCTCAACTATGCATGCGACGTGCAGAAAATAAATCATGCTTGAGTCAGACTGAAAGAATGTGGCGCACTCGGAAAATCACTTTGGCATTAGCCTCCTGTGTAGGCTCCGGGGCGGGTGGGAATTTTGATACAGCGTTTTGAAGAGGTTTTAACGCATTATTTTTAAATTAATAGCCGGCCATCCTACAACCAGCCGCTGAGAGAAGGTTCCATTCCACCCACGGAGCCTGCTCCCGTTCGGCACGAAAAGAGAAAGTGGGAGCAGGCGGCTATTAAAATAACGCGTTAAAAACTCTTCAAAACGCTGTATCAAAATTCCCACCCGCCCCGGAGCCTGCACATACAGGAGGCTACTTTGGCATCTTGTAAGTTATATGTCGGTGATCATGAACTGGTCACTCGTCACTAACATGTAATTAACTGCACTGTTTGGTAAGTCCTCTATTCAAGGGATAGGGGCTCCGTGAGGGTGTTGCATTACACAGAATAAGCTGTTTTTGTTGCAGTGCAGACTGCTTTGACGGGTTGAACAATGTGTGCTTGTTTACATTTGGCACTGGAGCAGGCTTCAAGTACGTGCCGAAAGTTTATGTCCCACGCTATTGTACCGAGTCAAGATCACATTTAGCACCCCGTTAAACTCTCGTTGCGCAGACAACAAACGATTTTAAATCCTGCTCAACTCAGTAAATGATGTCTGATCCCTGGCTTGCCCCAAAATGGCTTGACACTCTTGGTTGACAAATTTTTACTTAGATATTTGGACCAGTTCTTTTTTTTTGTGTGTGTGGTAGCGGGTTTGCACCATCATCGTCCATGCTCTCTCCCAACGTCCCTTTATCCCAACGTAATGTCCTGTTTTCTCCGAAAAGCGTTGGCGTGAGCACTTCGGAACCGGACGTTAGATTTGTCAATTGCCATCGTTGCTGACTCATTGAGTCATTCCCTTATGTTCACGTACTGAGAGCGTACAAGTTTAGAATAACAAGCCTGTTACATGTACTTTAAACCTCCTTGTTACAGACCGTAAAAAGTGCGTCATAGGTTTGTTACTTTAAAGCTAAGAGTAAAAGCATGTGGTGTTGTTTTTTAGCCTCCATAACATGCCCAAAACCATTGGGGGGTCTTTGGGATCTTTTATGTGCTATTTTCTGGTTGCACATAGACAGCATAGCCGGCCTGATTGAATTACCCCCGTTTTTTAGAACTGGGCTAATCAGAAAACAGCCGAAGACCACCAACCCCCAGTTCTATAAGCCTACTACGGAGGCTAGTTGTTTTTGGCGTTTCGAGGAGTGTGCGCAGTAAGTAGTCACGCCCCTTGAAGCTGGGCAAACGGGGAAACCGGACGCCTATAGATTAAATGTGGTGTGAAAAGGCCAGGGGCACATTCTCTGAAGTACGTACAACACACCTGTTTGCGTCGGGCAAATTCTCCGAAGTAAAACGCACCTGTCAGCTCAGGTCACATTCTCGGAAGTACACCACCCCTGTGTGGTCTGGCCGGGATACGTTCAGAGCAGATCAGACGTGACGGTACACTGCAGCAGACCGTAACTTCAGCCGCAGGCCACGTACACTCACTGATAAGAAGTGCGACCATAGACTTAGCAGCCCGGGCACTGTTAGAGGATCACTCAGAGCAGCGAATACTGTAGGTATATCATCATATTATAGAGCGAAATGTGTGTGTGTTTTATGTGAGCTTTATAGTGTTAGAAACGGTAAACATTGTTGGCCAGAGAATTCTTCATGTGCATGCATGTAGGAGCTGAAGTAGCACTTGGTCATTGTTTCTGTGTGTTGGGGGTGAAGTTAGAGGCATGCACATGTTCACGCATTATTTCTCTGTAAGCGGAATGATGTCACACACTCCAAAGTTGAACGTTAGCCAACTTTTGGCTCAGGCGTAGCCTCTACGAGGCTTCGGGTGGTGGGTTGAAAGAGTAGAAATCGGCCAAAATGAGAGATGCCAGGGGAGTTAATGCCTCCGCCCCACAAGTCTGCAAAGGCGGCTAAAGCTTTTCTAAGGTCACCCCATGCCAATAATCTGATGGATTCGGGTGTTCACGCTCTGATAGGCAAAACAAAAACAACCAACAGCGTAAAAACAACAATGGGAACTGGCCAACAATATATTCAAGTTGGAGTTTTGTCCCTTGGTTGTCTTAACAAATGTCCTAATGCTGTTTGTTGTAACGCCATGTACGGTAGTGTAGTACCAACAGGTGGCACATAAATTGTTGTGCAGTTTCCCCTCAACTATGCATGCGACGTGCAGAAAATAAATCGTGCTTGAGTCAGACTGAAAGAATGTGGCGCACAAGGCAAATCATTTTAGCATCTGTTACGGCGGTGATCATGACGGTATGATAGAACGTCACGATAGAACTGATAGAACGTCCAAGACCTTCTAGCATTTATCACTTTTCGTGCAGCTGCTATGGCGTTTGTGTTAGACAGGCCGCTCCCACTCAAAGGTGACACTTTGACATTTGACCGTGTTGGACCAGTACTGAAATATCTCTAAGATTGTCCTTCCGATCTGTCTTAACAGGTGGGAATATATTCAAACTGTACACATGCTGAATCTCTAAAGGAAGGTTTGTCATGTTACGTAGCTACAGTTTTTTGCTCATATTGCATGTCGGGGAAAGCGTCTGTGGCGTCGCGTGTGGCGTAATGGTTAGGTGTTTGGCCCAGAACCCATAGGTCCTAGGTTCAAATCCCCCCGACGCTGTGCCCTTGGCAAAGACACTCAACATGCTCACTTCCCACAGGCTTGTTTGTTCGTTTGATAAGCCATAAGTATTTAGTTAAGTTGCTTGTCGAGGCCTCTCCCGTGTTAGCTATGTGAACGTTTATGGATCAAAAGGGACGCACCTACGTGAACAAACAGGTAAGACATGATTTAATGTAGAGGTAACTGTATATGACCTTCCACTTTCAGATGTGTGTGAAATTGATTATAGAGACCTCAGCCATGAAGATTTACTTTTATTTATTTATTTCAACACCAAAAAGCAAACCTTGCAGCAGGGATGAAAATCCCTGAATTGAAAGAGTTTGCGTACAGAACAAAAAAAGTTACAATAGGCAGGACAAGCAGTATATACAAACCCTCATATACACTATAATACATAAAAAAATTGTACCAAGCAAAAAAACTATATACAGATGAGATATGATATGAAGCCATTATAAGCCTGTGAGTTGCCTCTGAGGCAACTTTAAGGCAAGAGCGGTGTGGGGCAAACAGCGACCCAGTGCACCTGATGACTCTCTGCCCTGGGGGAGAAGGCTGGGTAACTCGCTCTCACGTGATTTGTACTAATATGATCAGCGCTGAGAATTTTGCCTTAATCTCAATCACTTCCCCTGGGCTTCAGGGCTTATCTCGAAGCAGAGTATAGCAGAGATTTCAGTGCATTCCTTACAAGTACTGTACAAGGCCCTATTGTCTAAACCTGATAAGGGAACGGCATCTGTCAACCGTAACAAATGGTTCTTTCTCCCGCATGCAGTACAAAATGGGGAATGCGGAATCACAAGAAGAGAAGAAGCCACTGGACGTGACGGCAATAGACGACCCACGGGACAAGGAGTTCGGAAACTATGACTTCCCGTTTGAGAACCTGGTGATAGAGGGAGGAGGGGCCCGAGGAGTGGCGTATGTTGGAGCGCTGAGGGTAAGTATTGTATTGCGTTGTATTGTATTGGGTGGACCGGCTATTCTACAATTATTGGGGCTTAATCGCAAGGGTCTGGAGCGGCTGCAATTCGGTGCTAACTCAGGTGACCCCAATACAACCCAGGTGCGGCCATAGAACTGTAAGGTTTGAACCACTCACACCGGGAAGGTCCCCTACTCTTTTCGATAAGTGTGGTGGGGTCTTTAACATGCGTGGGGTGTGGCTCTCCCAAACACGGGACTTCAATTTAACGTCCTATCCAAAGGACGTCCCTAACCGAAGCTAGGTACTCATTTACAACTGAGTGAAGTCAGGAAAGTCGTAACCACTGAGCGAAGTGAGGAAAAGTGATCATTTACCGAGGGCACAAGATCGGTGGCATGGCAGGGTTCGAACCCGGGACCTCTTGGTTCTGAGACGAACACTCTACCGTTACGGCACACGACCCTACACACCCACGCCATTTCAAATATTATCTAGTTCCTGCTAGAAAGGAAGTGGCATTGGAAATATGTAATCCGCCATAAAGTCATTCAAGTAGGTGAGGCCACGAGTAAAAGCAAACATATCCTGGGCTCGAATCCTGTCATGTCACCGATCCTATTTCCTCGGGAAAGGCACTTTGCACCACTTTGGTCAGGTGTAAAATGGGTACCTAGCTTCTGTTGGGGAGGTAAAAGACAGTGTAAGGAGAAGGATGGGCTTCGCCTCCCAAAACCGTGCCCTAGACACAGTAGGTTAACAGAAAGTTAAGTGCAAACCCATGCCAGTGGGCTAATTACAAGAACATGATAAAATAATAAACAGTAAAAATGATAATATGTAATTCTAATAATTACACACTCCCCCTACGGTCTGAAAAAGGCGAGGCTATGGGACTACCATATACAATATACATCACGATATATTACGTTCATTACTGGGCACATTTCCTCTCCCTTTAAGCGGCAGGACAAGGGTACATAACTGGGCACTAAGACCTTTCCCTCTGGCATTCTCAGGTCCTGGAGTCTGCCGGAATCCTGCAGAACATCAAACGAGTGGCGGGGGTGAGCGCAGGAGCCATCACGGCGACGTTCGTGGCCCTGGGACTGAGCTGCGCGGACGTGGCACAGGAAGCTGACGTGGATCTGGGCAAGATTCTCATCTCCGGTATGTCCACAGTGTCTCCTTAGATCCAGTAGCAAAATGAAGCAAAAAGACTTCAGCCATGTAGCAAAAAGACTTCAGCCATGTAGCAAAAAGACTTCAGCCATGTAGCAAAAAGACTCCAGGCACGTAGCAAAAAGACTTCACCATGTAGCAAAAAAAACTTCAGCTATGCAGCAAAAAGACTTCAGCCAAGTAGCTAAAAGACTTCAATCATGTAGCAAAAAAACTTCAGCCATGTAGGAAAAAGACTTAGGCTTTGTAGGAAAAAGAATTCTGTGATGTAGCAAAAAGACTTTGGTCATGTAGCAAAGATAGACTTCACTAGTACTAATATAATTATTATACTATTTGTGAGAGAGAGTTGGACGGAAAAAATGGACGTTTACTTGAAAATGCTCCAATAGTTTTCGCTTTTCACAGCGAAACGCACCTGTGCAATATCTAACGTAGATCATAACGCTACATGCCAATCGCAATGGCTATACATATACATATACATATACTTACATCTATACAGGAGGGTACATGCAGACCCTGGTGAAACCAGTCAACCTGTACAGACGGTACGGATGGGAAACAGGTGACGGGTTCACCCAGTTCTTTGGAGGCATCCTGGAGAAGTTCACACGTAAGGAAGGCCGTCCTGGGAACCCAGACGTCACCTTCAAGCAGGTACGTCTGATTGACTGTAGTAACATCTACAGAGGTTCTTCTTTAGCCTGAAGTCCAGCCTTGTTACCTTCCCAAGATCCGCTACCCCGGCTGGGCAGAGTTACCATTTATATATAATTAGACGATTTCAGATGGCGTATTTGCCGAAAATAGGCGCAGGCGTTGTGATAAGCTGTTTGGTGAAGGATCCTATTGATGGCGAGGTCATCAAAATGCCTGCTTCACTGTGTGATCTGCGATCGCGTCAGTTTTAGAAGAGTTAGCATTACTTTGCTCAAACCAAGAGAGTGGATGCCTTAAACCTTTTGTAGGTGGAAGAGATGTCTTGGTGACACTCTTGCCCACCCAACTCTGCCAACCGGCGGGGTAGCGGATCTTGGGAAGCGGACCAAAGATTATAAACAAAGCTGGACCATTTAGGCTAGTCATGCTAGCCCTTCTCTGATTGGGTATGCAGTACCTGGAATGGTCTTCAGCCAGTAATGATGTATCTTTTTTATTGTATTTTTAATAAGAAATACGGATCATCTTGTCTCAACACTACCTTAATGTGCTTCCTCAGCTGTACAAAATGAGCGGAATCGAACTCTGCATCGTGGTGACAAACTTGGACCAGATGACGGAGGAATACTGCCACGTCAAGACCACTCCCGACCTGCCCATCCGTAAGGCTGTCAGGATGTCCATGTCCATCCCAGGTTCGGGTTTCGGTTTGCTGTACTTACGTTCCAAATTATCTTCCAATATAACCTGTACCAGGCTTCGAGAGACGGCTGAAAAGAGTAGAAATTGGTAAAATAAAGAGATAACAAGACTGGGGAGTTGGTCAACTAGATAATGCATTTTGCCGCACCTGATATCATGAACTGTGCTTTCTAGCGGACTAACTCCCCTGGCATGTTACCTCTCTAATATCTACTCTTTCCAGCCACGTCCCAAAGCTTGGTAGGGGCTACTCTCGATAAATAAATTCCTAAAAAAGTGGGAAAAAAGCCCTTTGTGTCCTTAATAGCTGTAATAAAGCCATACTACTGCCCGGCCTGCTGTTTACCTGTATAAAGTACCCATTTCAAGTCGTCTCTATCAGGTTTCCCGGGGTAACCGGAAATAGTAGATTAGCCAAATAGAGAGAGATAACGTGCCAGCGAAGTTTGTCCGCTAGGGAGTACAGTTTGCCGTACACATACCAAAGTCTGGTAGAGGCTACATTTCAAGTACTAGACGTAACCTTTGTCTCGCATTGGTACTAATATGTAACTTAAATGTATTTGAACAGGACTGTTCCAGCCAGTGTTGACTGATTATCATGGAGACAAGGAGTTCTACGTGGATGGGGGTGTGATCTGTAACTATCCACTCCACGCCTTCGATGGTAGGTACATTGTGTACATCTTATGTCTTTGTATGACTCTTAATGCAACATCTGAACCACTATAGCTATCTACCTCTTCCCTGAAGTACGTAAGGGATGTAGCTCTACAATAACTGTAACATCATGCTAAAGAACTAACAAACTTGAAACATGACTTATTAGACCGATAAGTATAAAAAGTGCAAATAGTTGTCTAATCTCCAAGGGGGAAAGGGATATATATTGGCCGACTAGATCCATGTAGGCTCCCATTGCCCCACAGAATCTGCTTGGAGATTTTGACATGCAGTCACTCTCTCTTCAAACCGCTAATTGTCAAGTTATCATTGGTTGAGCTGATAATTGTGGTCGACAGTCAGGAAAGGTGTATCTGGAGTTGAAAAAATTATTTGCTTTCTTGTGACTCTGTTCTGTAGGCTGGTGGCTCTCCATGGAGGAGGCTGACTCGTTCTTCAGCAGACTGGATGACCTGGCCCACCTCAGCCGTGCCATGCACCGCTCCAACCGCTTCGAACCGGTCAACCCCAAAACCATCGGCCTCATGCTGGTAGGTGGAAATCTCCAGGCGATTCTAGGGTGACAAAAGACAGTATCAAATTGCCCATGCGCCAGGCAGTATCCATTCATCCATTGGCCAGGGAGGGTCCAATACGCCACCCAAGGTTAATAACCTTGTCCAGAGCGACTTTCTGCAGATCCTTGCAATTGTTTGCGACCGTGAGCTACAGCTGCGAACACAAAAACACGACCGAAAACAGTATCCTTCAGCAGAGAATGAAATGTCTTTTTTTGAATGCTGTTGTGTGTTTAATAAAAGATTGCTTCTTTCACCAGTATTCTGATGACGACATTGAGCAGTACCAGCAAGTTCTCTGTGACCGTCTGACGCAGGAGGAAAGGACGTATGAGAAGAAAAGGCCTGACACCGAGGCAGCCAGGTCAGGAAAGCGTTATAATCTTTTCTTATACAAGGCTATTGCAAGTAGAATTTTGATTTTTCTGTATATGTATCTGTATCGGTATAGCCGAGTATAAGGGCCCTTCGGCGTAACGCTAGCTTTTTTTAGTTACTAAATCGTAATAAAAAAGTACATGAATCGAAAGAAACCTTCCCTTGCATATGTAGGGCTTACCAAGACAAGAGAGCTGTTGAAACTGTCGAAGCCATGGAGAACAGGAAGAAAATCCGCGGCCTGATCGACAAGTTTCTGACTAGTCTGAAGAGCCAAAACATTCACCACACCTCGACTATCACTAGGGAGGAACTGCGCAGGGTTTTCAAAGAGGTATCGTGTTGATACGTTCATCAGTCTAGTCTACATGCTATAGATTTTATAAGCCTCTTCCAGGCATGGGGAAGCGGCTGGAAAGAGCAGAAATTGGCCAAATATACAGATGATATGCCAGGGCTGGTCTGGGCTGATCAATTTCTACTCTTTCCAGCCGCTTCCCAAAGCTTGATAGAGGCTAATCTTTTATTACCAACTTGCCATGGTCTTTAATTTGCCTTAATATCGGCATAACGTAGAAAGAAAAGTAAACGAAGAATTAAACATGTATGCCTGTGTGTGGAAGATGTTCAGCACAAATGACATATTTACATGCTGTTTAGCACCAAGGACAGGCATGTTTGCCTGTGTGTGGATGGTGTTTAGCACTAAGAACAGGCTAGGCATGTTTGTGGACGGTGTTCAACACCAAGGACAGGGATATTTAACTGCGTGTGGATGATGTTCAGCACCAAGGATAGGCATGTTTGCCTGTGGTGGATGGTGTTCAACACAAAAGAATAGTTTCCATTTGACAGATGTTTCGTTACTTGAAACACATATCTTCTACAGGCAGGAAACGACTCACTGACTGACAAAGAAAAGAAGAAACTCTTCGGGGAGTCTTACTCGGTGGACCAACTCTTCGATCAGATGGACGCAGACCATGATGGAAGGGTAGGCTGTTTTTGTTTACCTTCGCAGAGGGAAACATATTGTTTTTGCTCTGTTTCTTCTTCCTCTTCTTCAAAATAAAGTCAATGACCTGGACCAGAGGTCTGTCACCATGGTAACTGGTGCTGTGGAAGACACCCTGTGTTGTTATGCATTAGGGCAGAGTAGGAGCGGAGGGGCTGCTCACCATATGTTAGATATGGATGTGTTTCAGTACCGATAAACAGAGCAGTAGTGTACGTGTCTTCCGGCTTGACCATGTGAATGTTAACACTATGCATTTGTTTAAAACATGTTACCTTCCTAGTTCCACATTAAATTTTGCACACTTTAACGTACACACGTCTTTCATTGATGTTACGATGCACGGTTTGCTGATTCTTATGGCAAAGTTACAGTAATGTTCTAGTTTAGTCTGTCTCTAGTTAAAATAAAAGTTTGTCAGTATTCTTTATTTATTGAAATGATTTTTTTAAAATCCTATATAAAGCTGACGTTCCAAGAGATCCACCATTTCTTTACCAACCGCGGCTTCAGCTGGCTGACTCGCAGTATGGAAGAGAGGCGGGTACATGTCACCAGTCTCACCGACTACACCCTCAAGTTCATGGACCTTCTCGGGGTTCTGGGGAAGAAAATCTACCGCAAGGTGCGTAGAAGATAGTCTCGTGGCACCGCACTCGTAAGGAAACGCATCCAATGTACTTTCAGGGCAGCAAACTGGATTTTCAAAGTCGGTGTTCTGGGCATTCAATGTTTTGTTTTGCCCCCCTGGAATTACATTGGATGCCTTTAATTACAAACAGGAAAAGTAAAAATAACATCTCGTGGGTGAGAACCAAGAGGTCCGGGGTTCAATTCCTGACATGCCACCGATCTTGTGCCCTTGGGAACGGCACTTTACACGACTTTCATCCAAAAGTGCTTGCGTATACATCGTTAAATACTGTAAGCTTTCTCTATCATCTAACACTCATGATCGTCTAATGCAGGTTTACGATATGGACAGAACCATTGGAGTGGACAGTGACTACGTGAAGACAACAGACTTTCAGTTGGAGGACGAGGATAAAATGTTTCTTTTCAAGGTAATCCTAGCAATTCATATCATCATTGGTGTCACTAATACGGGCAATTAGAATGTCCACGAGAGATAGTAATATTTTGACCACTGCAATGT